TACATACAAATTAAATGTGTACCTACATATATGGCCACATAGGTCTATTGCTCAGAATAAAATTACCTATTGTTACATATAGGTATGTGATGTGATATGTGAAAGAATATTTTATTATGTGGATATAATATTAATATATATATATACCTATAGCGATATGTTGATATTCAAATTCTTATGATAATGTAAATTTTTTAAGCCTTAAAAAAGTTATGTTGGAAAAGGACAAAAGATTTTGTATTTTGAACCTCTTAGTAGGCAATAGAAATAGATACCTATGGTTAAGTTAGGCTTAGTCTTCAAGATTCCAGTTTCTAGCATCAAGTCAAATATGACCGTACAAATTTATTGATTTGATCGTATTTTCAGGTGACGAGGAACAAAATAATAATATATTCACCGACGGTTGAAATAACACACTTCTCAATATWGAATACAACGCACATGGCACATAATAAACATGTAAATAAATAGTCAGAGATTATTTGATGTCTATCTGATAAGTTTCTACACTCAACGTGGGATTTGAACCCATGGCTAATTAAAAGCCTATTATAATGTTTATAAAAAATTAAAATTAAAGATCTATTTCATGGGATTTTTTTTATAAAGATTTTCTAATATAGCCTTATAGCTATACTTAGTGGAGATTCAATTATTTTTACATTTTATTTGTTTCGTTTTTTATTTTTTTTGTTTCAATTTTCTTAAACATACATGCTTATTTTGAGTAATGTAGTAAACTGTAATATCGTAATACTCTATCTACCTTTTTAGTTTAATTTAATATATACTTTTTCCTACGAGACTATAAAACATAAAAAGAATACTTATATATAATATTTTATTGATTAACCTATTTCAAAATTAATATTAGACACTAGAAGAATTTTATTTTACACCCGCTTCTAGCATAAATGCATAAATGTCGCATCATATATAATAAGAAAAATATTTTTGAATGTGCCTTTAATGAATTGTGTATGAGTGTATGTGTGGTGTATGCTATAGAACAAAGATCAATGATGACCAAACAATCGATCACAGACGATTTTCAAAGTCGATCATTATTTGCTAGGATTTATTATTATACATTGGGTAACACTTCTAATAATTCATTTAATAATGGCCATTGTCAACAATAATAGTAGGTATATAGTTTTATAGACTACACTTACACTATAATATTATAATAATTAATATTACAATTGATTTTATAATAATATAATATACTAGTAATGCAAACATCTATGGCAATGACCATGAGATTTGAATTGCCTATATTTTACCCCTTAAACAATAGCCACCTCAACGGACTTGATAACCTAAAAATATATTATATAATAATGTAATAAAATATCTAGGTAATTTATGTCATTAAATAAATTATAATTAAATATATTGTTGTTTAAATAATATTTAAGATTTTCTAATGATTATTCGTCCCTTCAATACATTCGTTATACGTTAAAATATATACATATATATATATATTATATGTTAATTCTAAAATTAGCTTACACAATATTATTATATGTACGAGTGGGTTTCTGTGGTTTTTAAAAGGCGGTTATGGAATCTTGTATTATGTTTTAGCCACGTCTACAGCAAAGGGTATGGATGAAGTGTGTGATTGGAAACGTAATAAGCCTTATTTAAAATAAGGCGCTTTAGTGATTTGTCTTAGAGTTTTAGATTGATAGGTTTGTATTCTATTGATGTTTATAAGTTTTGCTGACCCCCAGAGACCCATATTGGTTTAAGTAGCATTTTGTATATAACGAGCTTGTTGTTCAGATGAATATGTTTAGAAACCNAGAGACCCATATTGGTTTAAGTAGCATTTTGTATATAACGAGCTTGTTGTTCAGATGAATATGTTTAGAAACCAGTGGACAGTGGTGACCAGTCAAAATATCTCCATTTAAAATATCTCCGACAAATTTATTAATATTATTTCACTTTATAATCGTTAAAAAATTATCTCCAAAAAATTTGAGCGATTCCTCTTAAATAAAGGACTGAAGTTTCATTGAATTTTTTCACTATACGTTCAATATCAATTCATCTGGGTTCTTATATAATTTTTTTTTTTGGATTATAGGCTCTCCAGAAATTAATTTTTCTAACCGAATCTGTAAAATATACGTTTAATTTTTAATATAATTTATTTTATTCAATATTTTAAATTTGTATGATACAATACCTCTTGTAAAGCTTGTTCCTATTTTAAAAATGTGATAAACTTCCAAATGGTAACGTGATTTGCTCCTAATGCTGAATTAAATGCATGGTGCCAGCCTTAAACTGAGTTGTTTGTGCGAGGTTTATTTTTCAAAACTCTCTCATAGCAATTCCACATACTATTTGAAATTCAGACGGGCGTCTATGATTACGTGTTGAGTGGTCGATCCAAGTATTCTCGAAGTAGTCTTTTAACGCGATAAATTGTTTTCATTATTGTTAACAAAATAAGTTGAGTAAACTAATTCTTTAAAATAATTTATAGTTTTATTTGTTGATACAAATGCCAAAGCTGCCAAATGTCGTACTTCTAATGAGWATTCAAAATTTTCATAATATAAACCATTTTCTCGGACTTTCTGCCACAGACATTGTTGAAAATGAAAATAATAATAATATCCTTTTATCTTTGATTACGGAAATTGTTCATTAAATGCTGTTTCAAATGCTTTTTCAAAATCTGATATGATATATTGATATAATAAGGGCTTAAATTCGAGTTATTTTGTTTTAGGATTCATAACATTTTGTTATATGAATTGTTCATTCGATTGGTCAGGAGAACATGGATACGCGAAATAGTTATTCTATTTTTTTT